CTACACTCGTGGGATTGGAGTAATTGGACATTACGCTTCACTGCCATCAAACTGTCTTTGGCAATGGATGCGACTTGGAGATACCGTTTAAAATAGTGAATGCCTGTAAGCTTTTGTGATGGACGATTGCCCTGACGAAGATGCGCATTGGCACGACGCAAGTTAGGACATCCTGATTGGATCGAGTTTCATACACTTCTCCCGGCAAACGGTAGTTGAGAAATACCATCTTAAACATTCTTGATGTTGACACTCCTAACAGTAGAATCCTCAGCGAAGCGTTCAAATGAACAGATCTGGATGCAGGGGCATAACTACTTGCAAAGTCGGATGGCAATATGGACACACCTTCAGAATGCCTGATGGATATTCGATACCTGCTGGCAACGGATAAATTGTTGATACGCGTGGACTTACTGAAAGCTCTCCGCGAAAAGGTCGAATGCTTGCACGCAAGGTTTGCTGTCTGTTAGAACACAGGCACGGTGATCAGACTGAACAATGTAGGACTGAAGTGCTTTATGGCAGAGGCAATGGATAAGGCTTCAATTTCACAAGGTAGCCAAGTGAAGCCAATCCAGCAAGGTGTGTAACCCTGTCCCGAGAAACATACAATGTTGCTCCCAGACCATGATTCTTGCTGGCACCATCAGTGACAATCCACAATATGTCGGACGGACGAGTGAGAGTTATGGAGCGGTGAGACCTGAGTGCGCATTGGGCATTTCTTAAGGACTCCCCAGGACACTCAGATCAGAGACAATAGTGTCCTTCGTCATGCTACCACGTCATGCAATAAGGTAAGGGGTGAGGCACTGTCTTTTATCAATCGAGAGAGGACTTTGTATTCTCCAATAAATGACCGAAGTGCTGATACGGTAGGAGGTGGAACACATGTCGAGATGCGATGTGATTGCGCCTGTAACGTCCCTGAGCACCATATCCAACCAAGGATAGTTATCTGTTTCAGAGCGATTGTTTTTTTTCTTGTCGACAAGCTCATGTTTCACTTGTGTAAACATAGTAACAGCCGTTCGAAGTTTAGTGCCATATCATCAGGTGTGTTACCTCCATAGTACAAAATCATCTGCCAACTTGGCGACAGTACCTTCGTGTACCAAATCGCAAAGAGCACGGCAAGTTAACTCTTCTAGAGCAGTCGCTGATCCAGGCATGCCCATATCTGAGCGAACATACGCCCGCACGCCATGAAACGGGGTCACTTCCACTGAGCAATCTGGCGTAATGTTGAGTCGATATCAGGCATTAATGAGGGCAGGGGCTTACTGTAGCGGCCAACATCAGCAAAGGCGGTGACAAGGCGGTAGCATCCATCTGTTTTATTTACTAGAAATGACAATCTGATTAAAATCAGATCTTTGATTCCACTGTAACGTAGAGTATCGGAGTGGAATCAAAGGTCTGGTTTTAATCAGATTGTGACAGATTGCCACCGAAATTTTAACGTCCTCTGGCCATTTGAAAACGCTTAACTGTTCCAGTTCATCGAACTTGCCTTGTTTGTTTGCGGCAATATTGTGGGACTCGACCATTCCGTTAAGGAGGTAACACAGGGCCCATGTTAACCTTAGCCTCAAAGGGACATACAGCACCGTTTTAGCCCTGAAAGTGTGGGCCAAACACAATATCGTACTTTTGCAGTAACTGCAGGAACTATTAATGCGTGTTCTCTGATGGGGTTTGATCAGGGTCAACGTAACAAACTTGGAATGTTCACTGGAGAGCTAGTTTGGGTGATTTATATCTGGTGCCTTCTCATCTGATGAAGTGTCCTCTTGTATATTGGTAGTTCGTACCTGACAAAAGTGTTCATTCCGTTGGATGACCTGGAGATCCTGATTAAGGTTTGGAATACGAATCCTGCCCGACACAATTGTACGGAGGGAAGGGTACGCCTTTCAGTAGTACCATTGCCAGAACGAGTCATGTGGGGTTCATTATAATACTGTTTCATGTACAATATAAGCATGTAAACACTCCGTTACGGATCACTCTCCGTTTGGTTGTATATAATGTACATAATTATGTTGCATTTTAACCATATCGGGCGTTAGGTCCAAGGAATAAAGTATTATTAACCCTAAACATCGTCTTGTCCGGTATTGGTGATCTCAAGCAGAGCTATGCTTTGTAAGTACGTCGACAGGTGATACAAATGAGATTCGATGACGATTCGACGAGTTTCTTGAACAGATGTATATGACGCAGATGCCTAAGCGCAGACCATGTTTAAACATTTTAAGGCAGTATTGTCATCCCTGATGAGGGCACAGTTATTATTTTGGCAGTGAGACCCGCCATCGAGCTCGGCAATGCAGAACCGTTCATACAGGGTCAATGATTCGTCCCAACTGAAATGTATGAAAAGGTTATTGCGCCATCTGCATATGTTGTAAGAGGTGGGGATCATTTAAATCATCACGCAACCTGTGAGTACATTCAAATTCCCAGGTATGGAGAAAAGGGTAAGCTTAGAATGTGTATAAACTTCTGATAAAATAACAACAGACCATGAAAGATTCCTATGCTATCGACCGCTATAGGTAAATACTGCCAATGCTTGATAAGAAATCAGAATATTGCCAGGTTGAAATGGAGGAGTACTATAAGCAGCGCATCGTGTACAAAGTTGAACATCTTGAGTTATTTGAATTATAAAGGTTGAATATCTCGGGTTATTTGAATTATAAAGGTTGACTATCTCGGGTTATTTGAATTATAAAGGTTGACTATCTCGGGTTATTTGAATTATAAAGGTTGACTATCTCGGGTTATTTGAATTATAAAGGTTGAATATCTCGGGTTATTTGAATTATAAAGGTTATCATTCAGATTGCCAAACGCCCTGTCACGTATCAGAGAGTGGTTTGGTTTTCTAAATCTCAAGATTAATATTTGTCTACTTGTTCGGCGTAAGAAATGAGTATCCAGCGGCTTCGAGAGAGACCAAGTTGAACCGTCTGGCCAGGATGTCTTTTTTTTCTACAGGCAGAAAGAAGACATCACAAACACGGGTGTTTGGCGAAAAACTTACAGCATTTCAGAAGCTGAGAAACAATTGACATCATCATCATAACTTTCAAGCTACACATGGATACCTGTAGGAGAAGATATTGTGTTGTACTGTACCGTCGATTGGTTACATGTAACTTCGGGTAACCAGCTATATATATGCCAGACCTAGACTAAGGCTGTCTGAGAATACATTTCCTGCTCACATGCTCGAGCGTCTTGTACTAAAGTGGACAATCATAGACAGTTTAGTGGTCTACTCTATGGGCAGATGTTCAAGGTGTATACTGGCAACAATCCACTTAACTATGATGTGACTTCTTCGAACCTGGTTACAAGTGGACATCGAGTGATGTCACTTGCTTGACTGCCTCTGAATTTGTACCGTCCTGGAAATCCAATATTAAAGCATGCGTTTTGCCAGGATTTCATACATCAACCAAAGGTTACAAGATGTAGGATTAGCCCCTAAAATATTTAACTGCAAAAAGTCGTTGTTTGATTGCCTGTCGAGCAAGCATCCAAATGCGGAGAGACATTAACCGAATATATCATTGCATACTAATAACTGATCACATGGTTAAGAAATTCATTTTGAGTAGCACAGAACCATTCTCTAAATTCCAGGGGTTAAGCTCTTTGCACCTCTGAAAATTGTCATGACAAAATCAAAGGCACGCGGTAAGCTATTTGATTGGTTTTAGGTGAAAAATAACTGATCAATCGCTAGGCTGATACCTAACATTTGAAGATTACAGAAGAACAACACCCAACTTCACAGCCAGTCAATGTAACCGTAACGGTGACGCGCGATTCTTTTCATGTGCATCAAACTTATTTATACCCTTCAATGTCGTGATGACATATCCCAGGGACGTAGAGAACGCGAGTGAGCGTACAACGTTAACTCTTGGAATGTCGAGGATGCACAGAAACGTATTGAACATTTAAATCTGTCTATCACCTCGACTTTCGAGTGAGGGCCACGAAACTCTCGGGCGATGGTCGAAACAGAATACATGCTTTGTGCAATCCGGGCAACCTCGCTTACATGTTTGTGAACTTTACCTCGAAACTTAAGTCACAAATAACACTTGACATACCTGGTTTGTGTCCTTTGATTCGACTGTTTTCTTCCATCCAGAAGTAACGCGGCTACAGACGGATTCCAGTGGAGAATTTACGATTTGGTCGTAATAATTCATCACTCTTGCTAATTAGATTTATAAACAGTACATCTATTCTTAACATTAGACCATTTCACCAAGAGGACTATCAAACCAATCAATTATCGGATGAATATTTTAAATGGTACATTTTTGTGGGCGAGTTGACCAACAAGTAGCAATTTTCCTTCTGACATTTTTTTTCTTCTCTCTTTGCAAAGAAAACACAAATGTTAACAAAGTTTTTAACGACACACGTTTGGTTGTAAGTCTTAAATCACGTCAATTGTTTTGCCGGGGGGGGNTGGTACGGGGATCCTTTAACAAATATTAAACTCTGAACTTGTCGCGGCCGCTTCTTGGCAATAGTAGTAAGTCTATATACGTTGTGTATAGCAGATATTGATATAAATTTGGTCAATCCTTATTTTATTAGCATACCTCTACATACTGATATATTTTTCGTTTAAATTAAAAGGAGAGCAGATGGTCGACTTCTTTGCCCAGCTGTTTAAAAAACGTATTTACTTAACAATTTCAACAAAACACTAGTTTAATCTTATTGTATATCTGTCAAATTTCACCACACCAAGTATACCCCGGGTAGGCTCTTTTATTTGTATAATCTTATTCTCATTGCTAAACATGCTACATGTACCTCCAAAATTGGTTGAATTCTGCTCGGTAGTTTTAGAGATTTGGAAATTTGGTTAATGCAAAATTTGACAAAACGACAGACGAAGCCCCAGGTCACAGTGGTACTTAATACCAGGTAAGCTTAAGACAAAACAAAAACATACAAACTTTTTGTCTAATTTTATTCGTCAATTCTGAAGCTTGGTATAATAGATGAAAACTTTTATGCATCATAAAATTCATTCCACATGTATACTTTGGTAAATAAATTAGCTACGTCATTGTCCAATCAGTTTCCTATTAATACAGAATAAATAACTGTTTCGCGTAAAGTGTTAAAATTTATTCGGAATCTAAAAATCTGTTTAAGCTTAACTTATTATAATAAAGATCTCCATGAAATTATAAAGATGCAAATAAAACAGTTCATCCAGTATTTCATATCAGTAACCAGATACAAATATATATATATACAATTCAGTTTGCTGGTTACAAGTTAAAACCAATCCCTCTGCTGTTAGTAGAATTACAGAACCATTAAAACTATTTGCATGGTGGTTGTATTTAATTAGTGATCATAATCATGCATATTAGAATTGATAATCTAGTCATCTAGTAAATAAATATATCTAATTTTGTTTTATACACATTTCAATAACTGCACATAGTTTCAACTGCCTTTAAATATAACTTTTATCTACTTAAAAAAATCCAAAGAAAAGGAAAAGGAAACATGCTAAAATAGAATTTAGTTTAAGATAAGAAGCTTGTTTTTAAGGAATACTTAATTAAGAGCTACAAAGCTCAATTAATAAGAGAACTGATGATAAAATTAAGATGTTGTAATTGTATAAGCCCACCAGTATTAAATCTTAATCTAAATAAGTGTTACTGTGTCGAGCATGAGAACTTTTTTGTAAGTTGTTTGCTAACAATCAAGGTACTTATTTTAGCTTATCTGTTAACTGAATTAGGTTTCAATACTTCGATTATCACTAGTTAATTTTGGATAATTGTGCATTTTACATTTTCTTTTATCAAAAGGGAGAAGACAATGCATGCATCTGGTACAAAGTGCTATTTTTTCTTTAGTGTACAGACTATCAGATAAACCAGATTACTAACTTACAACAACTTATTAGGAAATATATCAAATGTTACGAGTTTGTTCTCAAACAAAATCTACCACCCAAAGCTTGCAGATTACACCTGATATAAACTTGAGTACAGCAAATGTAGATCCTAACCAATTTTTGCTTGTCAAGTATCCTTTATGATATGATCTTTTCACCTGTGATTTGAAAAATAAATTCTATGCAATTTTACTCTAAATCTTTCAAACACCCTAGGTACTGTTTTGTTATAAATTATTATTGTCAAAAATGGGTAAACTGTTATTATAACCATCCTTAAAATTAACCAAAACAAGATTCTTTTAAAAAAAAATGTAACTATAAAATGTAATTATGTTTGCCCCATTAAGTTTTCGCCCTTGCACCTTTCATTATATTCCATGGGTTGAATCTGCCCTCCCTTTCAAGATTTTACTGATATCATTCGACACATTTTATTTTGTTCCTGATTAATTTGCCTTCATTAAGATTGAAAGTTCCAACACTTTTTTAATGCATATAGGCATGGAAAACTTATTTTCCTGTTACATTCATGGTAACATTTCCTTTATAATAAGAGAATTTAAGGTGACGGGCCTTTTCAAGGAATTAGAGCATAACATTTCCCACAAGTTTGCTGTAAAGTATTAATATTGCATGTACCATAATTTTAGCAATGTAGGTAAACTCCCGGTCTTCTAATAGTGACATCAAGGGAATGGTAACCCTAGGACAAAGATGTAAACTTTTTTTGCTTGAGACACAACATGGTGTTGGAAATCTCAACCTTAAAGGGTGAAAATATTCCTTATACAGTAAATGAACCAACCATTTAAAATTAAGGTGTTTGAGAGATTAAAAATATTGAACAGTGTTGAACCAACAACCTTGTTCAGAGGTGGAAAGTAGGCGAAAATATAATGAGGCATACAGTTCCTGTTTAACAGTACAAGAACCAAGTCATTGAAATAAAGATGCATAAAAAGAAAATAAGAGAGATAACTCGAGAGGTAAAACACAGACTCTCAATCTACATATTGATTTATAACACTTGTATAAAAAGTAGATCTTATTGAATGAAGTTAAAGTTCCATTTATACCAATCGTGCACTTACATTCAAAACTAAACTATCATCTTCTAAAACCATGTGAAATACTCCAATACAGGACAAATCTAATAAAACATTAGTTACATTGCTGTTGATGGCAATGCTGTTACTTTTGGAAGAAAATAATTCATTAAAAAAGGAAATAAGTAAAGATATTTTACAGAAAGAAATGATTATGCTATCCTTTATAAGTACTGCTCTGTGTACTCAGTTGTATTCTTTTTGCAGTATGATTTTTCTGTGCCTGCGGGGGTTTACACAAGTTGGGAAAAAATCGTAATAAGGAAAGAAAATATGTTCATAAGAATAGCAGAAGACTTTAGAAATATTTCTGAAATAAGGACAGAAAGAGCAGGTAGAAAAAATGCTTGTTTTCTATAGCACGATAACTATGTATGCATGTTAGATCTAACAGTCTATTATGTAGGACAAGTCAGTTTTTCAGGGCTTACATTCATTTAGCAAATTCAAAAAAGTTTTCATTATATTCATTTTACAATTTTAAAAAGTTTCCAAATTATTTCTGCATCTGAATTGAATCAATTACAATGTTATATTGTATTTACTTAAGAAATTTGTTGACACAGTATTTTGCTACAGCCACAAGACATTCTAGAGAAAGGTGTAGACCAGATGACTTTACTCACATTGTAAAATCTTGGCTTGACATAATATAGGGAACAGAGAAGACCAAGTCAACGTTTATAATATATAATATATATACACAAACCTTATAACTGGTTATTTTCTTAAATATTTTTTATGCCGAAATTAATAGCAAGTTTAGTCAAAATACTACTGCTACATCCTCAGTTTTGAAATACGGTCTAATGACTTTTACTCGATAGTGTTCTATGTTTACCTATAGTACATCTACTTGCAAAAATAACCAGTTATTCAGAATTTGTTTTACACATACACACATGCATCCTCAATTAGAGCACAGATCAACCACACATCTAGCCGTGTATATGTAGTGATGGGTATACAGTTACACACCTAAGTAGTAATAGCTAGGTCTTACATATATACAAAGTCTATGTAATCCAGACACACCTTTTAGTATATCCTTATAACATGTACAGAGACTCTTCGTCTCTAATTCACCTTTCTACACAGTCAAATATTCTTTATGCAAACTACATCTACCACAAATTCACACTTAATATAAAAGCAGATAGTGAAATAGTCTTTCTCAACAAAGAAATTTTCTTGTATCAATTTTGCATCATAGTCAACATCAATTTAAAACTGTCAAATTTCATTACTCATCATTGTCAATGTCATCAGCTGTTTTTTTTTTTACATAAATATGAAACAATATCAGCATTAATTTCTTTAAGAAAATCATCATGGCATCGGAAACATGAACAGTTCAAAGACAGTGTTCGAAAGCAAAAACACATCAACATTATATTTTGCCATCTTTTCCTAAACTTTCATTAAATTCATTCGTTCATTTTTTTGTCTTTTACAAATTATTTGGTTAATTGTTTGCATAAATTTGTACAAGATTCTTAGTTGAAGAAAGACTTAATGTGAAATGGCTCCATCAGGGTGTTTCTATTTACATATATGCAAATGAATGAGGTCATACACAAACCAGGACCAATATCATTACCTTACATTTACCATGGAGTCAAACCCTGGCCACACAGTATCAGCAGAAACCATTGTGGTACTATGTGTTGCCGCCTGAAGTAGATTTTTGAGAACTCTTATGCGATGCTACCAACATTATAACTTTAACGTATCTAAACAAGCTATCTTTCACTTTCTAAAATTGACTTTCAGAATGAAAATATACATACTGATCTCATATTGATCTCATAAACTTCAGACTTAATAATATCCTTCATCTTTCATTGACCAAATTACTCTCAGAATTCAATGTATGGTATATGTATTGGTCTCCCTTAATATGCCAATTATTTTGTGAAGAAAAATCTTCAGATTTTAGAAAATTTATGTACCCATATTTCTCCCTCTTTAAAAAAATCAAAACACTGATTTCACCTATAAATTGTCACAAAATGATGCAAAAAAATAAAATCCATATTTTCCATTCTTCATGATCATGACCAATCATAAACTACCATATCAAAATTAATTCAATGTCCAACATTTGAAACAACTCTGATAAATTATTGTGAGTTGTACGATATATTCTGCATATAAAATTCCAACACTAAAAAAGTGTTGTTTTTTTCCATATTCCCATCTTCATTTTTACCTCACTAGTAAACAAGTTATATAAAACATCTCATGATTTCTGCGATGATTCCATACGGGCAGTTTTCACAGCCGGATATTAAATGAATGTCCTTTTAAATAACTTAACACATTCCAGCAAACACATCTTGATCTTCAGGCTTGATAAACAATCAGTCAAATTTCTTCTTCTAAACTATCTACATTTTTACAATACATGTATTTCCCTTTCAAAAGGCATCCACAAGGATGTGAACCAACAAGCCACGTTACCCTCACTTCCACTTCATGTCTCCCCTTCTCCTGTCATTTAAGGTGATATGGTCATATTTCACTCATCCAACCAGACATTCCAGGTCTGTCATCATCAAGATATTTTATAAATACAACTTCCCACATCTATTGAAATCCTTTCTGCATTATTATTCATAAACTAATTTTTTAATTAAAATTTTCAAAAAAAAGATAACAATAAAACACTTTCCTGAATCCACATTTAAGAAATAATTCCCCAAATTAATCACATTTTTTTTCAAACTGTTGAGTATAATGTTTTACAGGTTTTCAATTTAGTTTTTTCAATTCATTTTTAATTCTCTGCTTTTTTGTTTCAAAAGTATATCACCTGAAAGTGCCATGGGAGAGAAGATACTGTATATACGGTAAAAAGTCATTGTCTATGAAAGGTTTTGAAATGTAAAGAACTGGGACCACATCACTCTAAATCAACAACCCTCACGACATCATGATTATATATACTCACATCAATATCACAATAACGACAAAATTTGGAAGCATTGTGAAGTTTCAGATTTCAAGCAGTTGACAAAAGGATTTTTGATGTGCAATAAACCCATATTTCCATATCAAACATAACAATAACCGAATCTGATTCTGACGATTCTAAATTGTATCGGGTAACATTACATGTTAGAAAGGCTTCAACACATTTAATTCCTATATTGTTGGATATCCTTTACAAAATGTTGAGAAATATTTTATCATGATTACTATGACCTTAATTCAGTTGAGGCAGTTGACAAGAAAAACTACATGTTTGATAAATACAATTTACAAAAATTATTAAATTTTGTCCCATGATTGAAAACTGTACTGAGAATATTTGAAACACGACACATTTAATTTACATCATAACTGTTATTTTGATAGAAAAAAAATCATGATTAATTTAAATTTACTTGTCAAAACTTTATACTGATTGCAATTAAATACATATATAGAGTCATTTACCATGAAAAAACAACACTAAAAGTTCAGTAAATCTGGTACCATCTTAAAAAATCCTTTACCTTCATTTGATTTTCATATACAATGTACTTACAAAGGTACAGATGAAAATTTGATTTACTTCTGACTTCCTATAGCAAACTGTCATTGGATAAAGATCTTTATCAATCCTTTCAAACAAGTTGATTTAAAAGTCATTTGTTAAGGTACAGTGTACTTAAAAAACATGTAACTGCAAGCGAAACAAAACATTGTCAACAAACAGAGCCTTACATGTTATCAAACTTTACTTATTACAAATTGTAACAAAAATAAAAACAAACAAGTGGTGAATTTCAAAGAAATATTCAAAGATATTCAGAAACAGCAGCATACACGGGTAGTGTGGTATTAGTAATCAATATAACTTATGTAAGGAAGTATCGTTAACAAAAAGCATGCTGTGATAAAACTCATTAACAAAGTAACAGTGCATAACATGTATGTAACTTCATCTACATTTTGCCAGAATAGAAAGCTCTGTATATGTATCGATTTTAAATACTCTGGTAAAAAAACAAATTTCAAACATTGTGCTTGTAACAATAGTAGAAATACATGTACTTCAAATGTAAATTGTTTTCATTAATATTCTATTTATGTGCATGAGCAAAGGTAATTTTTTAGTAATATTCCAGTCATAATTTTCATCAATAAAGTAATTTAAACCAAAATCAATTGTAGCATATTGTACAAAAAATATAAAAAAAATACTGAAAAGAACTTTTAATCCTAAATAAGAATCGAAGTTGAAGAGGAGTTGGGTTATTAGGTAATCCTTGTGGTTTAAATAAGAACACTTCATACAAAGACAATCACATCTTGATTTGCTTATTTATATCAACACCCTTTACACAACAATACAATACACATCATGTACAGGTTTTTTATGGACTTTCACACAAACAAGACTTGCTCACTGCAATTAACTCCAGATGCCTCTGCCACATGCATTTCATTTTATCCTCAAAAGTGTCCAGTTAGTTCCATGTACCCCCTGTCTTACCACTCTGAGGCGTGCCCCATCCCCCCACCCCCGGACTGCTGCCTGGTTCACTGCCCTGGGAGTGGGAACTGCCCCACCCCAGGAAACTATTACTGGCTGTGGGGACCGGGGCTGCTACTGCCGCTGCCTGACTGTTGCTCCCGATACTTCCAAAGCTCTGAGCACTAGCTTGGCTTGAGGTTTCCACTGTAGGCTGGGCATTTGGGGTTGAGGCGCCACCCACATTGACTCCAACACCGGTTCCAATACCAGTCCCGGTGTTATTGCCCTGGCTGACCAGACCGATGGGGCCCCATCCCCCCTGACCACTCAACATGGCCTGGGCTGCTGCCAGCATGGCAGGACTGATCTGAATCGGACCCAGACTCAGGTTATTAGGCATGTTGCCATGCCCCATGGCACTGCCCTGGTTGGCCATGGCCTGAGTGTTGCTTCTCCCTCCCTGACTCCATGAGCTGTGATGTGCATATCCCTGTCCATATCCAGGATGTCCTGGCGTAATTGCTTTTTTGTCGTTCTGTCGGTCGTAGTTCTTTGGGGCAGCACTACTAATGTGCACACTGGCTCCTTTGATTATGTGATCCTCACCACACAAGCCCTGGGATACGTCCGAGTCGGCAAAAGTTACAAACGCAAATGCTCTAAATGGTTTGGGGATAAATACATCAACAACCTCTCCAAATTTTCCAAAATACTGTCGCAAATCTTCAGCTGTCATATCATCAGTGCATCTTCCAACAAAAACCTTCCTGTTCATAACATTTTGTGCTCCTTCCTGTAATAAAGAAAAAAATTAATTGAATACAAACTTTTTACAGATAATAATATACATGTATCAAAATTAAACTCCAACAGTTACAAAAGATATATGATAACTACAGAAATAATAGCTCAAATAAGTTAAGAAAATTACAGAACAACTTAAGAAAAACATATCACAATAGATTTAGTTATCTTAACCCTTTCACCCCTATGTAACTTTAGTAGACTCTACCATGCATTGATCTGGATGAGTGCATTATGGTCTACAGTGGTAAAAGGGTTAAGTTAGATTCTGCTTTAAGAAATCTTTATTCTCCATTTTCAGAAAATCAAAATGTGAAATTTCTAAGTATTAAAACAGGTACTTTCAGTTTCACTTTCAGTTTGAATTGTTGGATACATATCTTTTAATAGTTTAATACTTATATAGTTCTAACTACCTTCATTTACCATAGCACTCTTTTATTAAATACATTTTTCAAGTTAGAAAATTTATGAAAAAGTGAAAATATAACTTTATCAGAAGATTGAAATTTTTTAACCAAAGGGAGGCAATTCAATAGATTATTTGTCAAACAAAAAATATATAATACTATCAATGATGTATAAGTCAAACCAGTATATCTGCAATCATAATGTTAACATCATATAAATATATTGGAAATGCAGTCAATTTCATTAATGTATCACACAAAAAACAGAAACTCATTCTTTTGAAATGTCTTTTTTGTATTTCATGGGATACTGACAGCAGATATCTCGATTTTCCCTGACAAATGACAAGTGATATTAGTTGTTTGGTTAGTTACTGGCTCTCTGCAGGAATAGAGGTGAGTTAGATCCATTATGTGGAAGCCAGAGGCCAAGTCCCCTATAAACCTCATTGACCCTGGCCTCTTTATTGTCATAATAGGGACCACTAACAAACGATGAAGAGTTCCTACCACATGCAGTAGCTAAACTTTCAAAGACAATTAATTACAAAATTACCTGATTCTCTGGTTCACTTTATTGAACATACTGATTTACTATATATGTGATTCAATTAGAGAATGTAATTAGCCTAGATGGGTTCTGGTGAATTTGTATTTCTCAGATCTAGATGTAAAATTGATGCCAATATTTCATTAGGTGTTGGCAATGCACAGTTTTTTAAAAGTCGGTTTCAATTTTTGGTGTTTTTTTGCTATAAGAGAAAGCCTTTGGAAATGGCACCAGAGGGTCACCAAAGAATGTCAAACCCCAATGAATTAACGATACTCTTGTCATGTCAGAGGTGTAACAGGGTGGTATACATGCAGTGTTTTTGTTACCTAAATTTTACAAAAGCCTGTTCCTTTACGATTTGGGAGAATGTAGCATTATTTGTATTGAAATTAGGATTATATTCCTCAGTTTTGGGTAATTTGTGAAAATTAGGCACTTTTTAGCTTGGGGAATCAGCCTGTATTCTGCAGTAAAAATGAGCAAAACAAATAACTGACATGTATTGTATTTTATGGGGTGTAATATTTCATACGCATGTAATAAGAAACTGTCAGATTTATGAAAATGAACAGCAAATCATCAGGAGATGGAGATGGTTAGATTAGAAAATTTACATGTACTGTTGACAACACAGACATCAAAATTGTCTCCCCCTGATAGATAAAAGACCTACAAGTTGTGATGAGCAAGTTTCATTATCCATATACATTTCGTACATCATATAAAGGAAAGGGTACACCCAAAACCAAGCTTTCAACCCTCACATACATATACATGTATATATATATCTTTACATGAAGTTAACTCTTCAAATTACAAATAGAGTTGAGATAGCAACCGGTCTGTTGTTATCAACATAAATCAGGTACAAAGATATATATGCTGACAGATTCCTTTTAATTTTCTCCTATTAGAAACAATACTGTACACTGAAAGAATTTTGTCGCCCGTTTAACTTTTGCCTTTTTTTTTAATGTTTTTATTATCTTTCTGCATCCTATACATGATATACATTTGCCATAATTAAGTGCATACATTGTATTTCAATATAAAATTCAGTTGTTTTGCTTCTTTTTTTTCTACAAGTTTCGTACACAAGTATTGTTGCTTTTGTTAGGTAAATTCTGACTTACTATTGTTCAATTTCCAAATCGATCACATTTTGAGACTTGAGATAAACCTACTATATCTTGCCATTATTTAAGCATACATTGTATTTCAGTACATGTTCAAGTGCTATGTTTCTTCTATTTTTACAGTATATAAATGATTATTGGTTTTTGAATAAAACACAATATAACCACAATTTTAAACTTGTGAGATACAGAAAGTTTTATAACTTTTGCCTTTTTACACCCTCTGCATTGAGGGCGGATTTATCATCAGAGGGAATATTAGTAAACAAAATAATACAAATAGTAATCAAATGTGGAGGGTGTAATTAACACTGGGCCAATACAGATGTTACCAGCGAAGGGCGAGAGATGGATTGGGCATAAGTTTACCAGTATATAGCATTGTTTAATTCAGCTGTGCATAACTATTCAACACCATGATGCATTTAATGTCCTCACAGTAGAAAGGGTGCAAAAGTTAAAAGTTAGTTACATTTCCTAAGATCAAGTATGCATGTATACATGTCTGAAGCAAAATCTACCATAGTTGTTACTCTTTTACCAATGTATGGTCTCGTACCTTTGAGTTTGGTATTCTCACATCACACCATCTTCCCTCTATCAGGTGCCGCGTTGCCATACATTTTTGTTGTGATTCATAATCTGCAAATCGTATGAATCCAAATCCTTTGGACTGACCAGTTTTTGTGTCCTTTTTTACCTGAAGGAAAGAAATAGTTGTTGTTGATTTTCATAGTTTTATACACAAAATATATTTTATCATCAACACAAATTTAAAGTACACATTTCCAACCTTACGTTAACTATAAGCACCTTACTGAAGGGTTTCACTGGGTGGACATCTAAACCAACATTGCAGCCATTGATTTTCATTTTAAAGGGAGGATACTTTCCCAGGGTGATCATTTTGAGCTTTTTAAAGTACTGATTGTCTAATCTCAGTGGAAATTGTACTTATTTGGTATATTTCATCCTTATTATAATATTTTGCCAGTTAAAACTTATTAACTCATGCATCCCTGAAATTTCACAATGAACTAATTAAACCTTTGAATTGGAAGAGTTCAAATTTGTCTTCAGGGGTGGATGAGTTAAAGCAGTTCAATTTTTGATTGGCAATTCAAAGCAATATTAAGGTATAATTTATCTTAAATGTAAAGTATAAGACTTCTCATTTTATAATGAGTTTCTTTATCATACCACAACACATGTACAACTACTATAGCAAAAATCATGAAATGTTATATAACTCAGTCAAGAATTAACATATCACACAAAATATCTCAAAATGAATATCGTTCTGTATGCTCGTAGCAGAGCCACTTCACTTCAGTTATGAGCTTACATTTTTGTAAATATCAATTTGACTTGTTAGACAGGAATTAATCAACGGACACAAAAATATTTTTTCCCATTAATTAAACATAAATGACTTATAACAGGATAAAAAGTATTGTAAATAAGATTTTAAGCATTTTGGAGGATAACATGAAATAAATATGCCTTGAAAGATGTGAAACAAACCATCACATTACAAATAGTCCTATTTATAAAAATCACCACTTCTTAATTGTATACCTGAACCATCAGTAGGTCACCAATAGTTGAAAAATACTTTCGGAGGTCCTCTTCTGTACTCTTCCAGGGTAAACCCAGAACTATGAGGTCGCTGCATTTTGATTTTTCATGTTTCCTCCTGATCATGGTGTTGTCAATAACAGGATTTTCTTCACGTACACGCTTACACTCATTTCCAGCTGAAAAACAATAATAGGGAAATGCCTACATGTATATAAATGCATCAACCAACTACTCCTAGAGAATGTGTAAATACTTCAAAAACATTTACATTAACTAATTAAACAAAACTTGAACGAATGCTCAGAATAACTACGATGCTAAATAAAAGTAAATACAACCTGTAGCAATCAATAGCATGGTTGTCTTAGTTTCAAAGCAAACCCTATCAGTTGATGGTTTCATTATATGATTTCAAATAGTTTCCTTTTAACAAGGAACAATGAACGCCAACTTAAGACTTATAAACGTCACTCAACATTGTTTTACTTCATTGACAGTAATTTGAGATTATACTCTTCATGAATATACACGCAGTTTAAGTTTCCTTGTGTCATGTAAATTATTTCCGCTTAAAAAATTAGAGTTATCGCCCTTAGCTGTCAAACTTATTTCGCTGTCAGTTTCACTTTAGCCTAACAAACACATGCATTTGAAACGATTAAATGCAGTTTGACTAACTTTGTCTATGCAAGCATATTTTTGAAATATTAAAGAATCATAATGCAACGATGTTTTTAGTGTTTTCAAGACAAAAATATCAAAAACAACGTGAAATTCCAAGGCGTCTGCTCCAGCAAAAAACCCAAAGCGTCATCAAAACCACTCAGATATAATCCTTGAAAACGCAGTTACTTACTTTTTGGAAACACAGCAATAAACATCCTGTTTCCCCATTTCCCATCAGGTGGATAAAGACGTCCATCAGACAATCTAATTCCTCTGAAAGCACCCGAATCTGGATTTCTATATTTCAATCCACAAGCCCCTGGGAACTGAGCAGCTAGTGTTGACAGCAGAAGAGTTCCATCGTCCTCGCTTGGAACCTCCATTGGATCGTCGCCTTCATCCTCGGTTACCTGGATATACTGACTCATTCTACTTGTGGACTACATACACATTCTAGATGAAATCGCTCAAAACTGTCCTCAAGTTTGAGAATCCCGCCGTAGTCCCGAAATGAAGTGCGCGGCGTTCCAAGATGGCTGCTTCTGTTGACAATTTCTGCGATGGATACGCCATCTTGCGGTTGACCTATATTTTTAACGTTTTACATTGAAGTTATTCCCCCTTGACCGGTAGAGGGGAAATGATAACGTCAGAAATCGTAGAAGATTTTATTTTGAAATTCATGTTTAGCTATATTTACATTTGTATTGATATATTCTTATCCGTAGCTGAACATCATATGGACTGTCTGGTCAAATGCAGACCTACATAAATCTACTAGACCTAGTGCATTGTTTAGTACTTGGGACCGGCCGTGGAAAAAAAATGCATCATTTAATGTTATGATATTTTTTTCTAAACAGCATATTTGCAATTTTTTCTTTATTAGTTAAACTAAAAAATATTTTGAAAACGCAGACATTGAAAAAGACATGCCAAAACAGGAATATTTTACATTTGAACATTGTATCCATGAACAGAAATGCATTATGCAACTTGTGATTACAAAAAAACTAAAGACTAAAATAACGATCACTACAATGCATACCGTATAGAGTTTGTAGCTATATATAATGTTGGATTTTTCTTTCTTTTTATAGCTGCAATATTGGCTTTAGGAATCTTTCAATAAAAAAACAAATACAAAAAGACTGTGGTATACTAGCTAATTGATTTCATGAAATATTTACTTCCGGTTTCTATGTAAAAAAAAAAAAGAGAATTAAACGATGCAATTATGATACAATGATATCTGCTCAACACCGAACATTCTTTATGTTAAAATAGTATATCAATAGCTATAGGTTTATTTTAATAAATATCAGTGTTCAGAACTTAATAATGCTTAAAGTAATAAACATAAAAAAAAATATGGTTCAACGACGTGCAGCTAGATACGTATGCAATAACTTCCATAATACAAGCAGTGTGTCAGGAATGTTAGAAAATCTCCATTGGCCACTCCTAGCTGAACGTCGTCTAGAAACACGACTTGTAGTATTTTATGAAATTGTCCACCGTCTCATTGCTGTTCCACAAAACTTCAGACATATATCCGCAACAAACGACACCCTTAAAAGTCCTTCTTTCCGCGCACCATAGTCCAACGGAATGCCCTCCCTGCAGCCATTGTAGACAGTGCTACTGTAGACACCTTCAGAGATCAGCTGACTCCAGCTGTACTCGCACCTCTCCTACACAAAATACTACTTATGTATATAGTTTTATGTTAAATCCAAAATAACAAAAAAAAAAAAATGAAATTCTTTTAACTAATTTTGCGTCCCCCACGCACTCCAGGTAATCTTCTATGCCAGGAAGATCTGGTGAAACTATAAAGAAGAAAAAGAAAAGAAGAAGAAGAATGACGTATCAAAATAAAACAGCATAGAACAACAACAAAAAAACCCGATCGGGCCTACAAGCTACGGTTGCCGCAGCTAACCACACAGGTACTTTAGTAACTCATCAACACAAAGTAATTTAACTCACAAATATACATATTTGTATAACAGGTGTGCATATTTTGAAAACTGAATTTCGAAATTACCAAAAACGAATGTAAGTGTATTGATGATTCTAAAAAGTCCATGAAAACTGACATAATTTACGGGTCATAGCTAGTTCATCACGAGGTAGACGGGTTTACTCTCAACACTACATACGAAGTCCACTGCAACCTACAAAACATTGCCATAGGTCACCACATCCAAGTATGTGCTGAAGCTACCTGATATCACTTCTACCCTCTTGATGTGCTTTCGCTACCTCATGCCACTATCAGGAAATCTCCCCCTCTATCTACTATGGATATCTCAGTGCATTTCTCCTCTCTTTGTACAGTGGCTACCTTATAGCATCTCTTCTATTTTGTGTATAGATACATCAGATCCCCTCTCCCCTCTTTGTACTGTGACAACCGTACATCACCCCCCACCCCCTATGTTCTGTCACAGCCCTAAACAAACTCTATCCTCTATGTACTGTGACAACCTCAGGTCATCTCTTTCCCCTCTATGTACTGTGGCTACCTCAAGTCACCTCTACCATCTATGTACTGTGGCTACCTCAAGTCAACTCTAGATCTCCAATCTATGTACTGTGGCTACCTCAAGTCAACTCTCCAATCTATATACTGTGTCTACCTCAAGTCACCTCTCCCATCTATATACTGTGGCTACCACATATTACCTCTCCCCTCTATGTACTGTAGCTACCTCAGGTCACCTCTCCCATCTATGTACTGTAGCTACCTCAGGTCACCTCTCCCCTCGATGTACTGTAGCTACCTCAGGTCACCTCTCCCCTCGATGTACTGTAGCTACCTCAGGTCACCTCTCCCATCTATGTACTGTAGCTACCTCAGGGCACCTCTCCCCTCTATGTACTGTGGCTACAAGATATTGACTGTCCCCTCTATGTACTGTGGCTACCTCAACTAACCCCTCCCCTCTTTGTACTGTGACTACCTAAGGTCACCTCTCCCCTCTATGTACTGTGGCTACCTCAGGTTACCCCTCCCCTCTATGTACTGTGACTACCTCAGGTCACCTCTCCCCTCTATGTACTGTGGCTACAAGATATTGACTGTCCCCTCTATGTACTGTGGCTACCTCAGGTCACCTCTCCCCTCTATGTACTGTGGCTACCTCAAGTCACCTCTCCCTTCTATGTACTGTGGCTGCCTCAGGTAACTTCTCTCTTCTATGTACTGTGGCTACCTCAGGTAACTTCTCCCCTTTATGTACTGTGGTTACCTCAGGTCACCTCTCCCCTCTATGTACTGTGGCTACCTCAGGTCACCTTTCCCCTCTATGTACTGTGGCTACAAGATATTAACTGTCCCCTCTATGTACTGTGGATACCTCAGGTCACCTCTCCCCTCTATGTACTGTGGCTACCTCAAGTCACCTCTCCCTTCTATGTACTGTGGCTACCTCAGGTCACCTCTCCCCTCTATGTACTGTGGCTACCTCAGGTAACCCCTCCCCTCTATGTACTGTAGCTACCTAAAATAACCCCTCCCCTCTTTGTACTGTGACTACCTCAAGTCACCTTTCCCCTCTATGTACTGTGGCTACCTCAGGTCACCTCTCCCCTCTATGTACTGTGGCTACCTCAAGTCACCTCTCCCCTCTATGTACTGTGGCTACCTCAGGTCACCTCTCCCCTCTATGTACTGTGGCTACCTCAGGTCACCTCTCCCCTCTATGTACTGTGGCTACCTCAGGTCACCTCTCCCCTCTATGTACTGTGGCTACCTCAGGTCACCTCTCCCCTCTATGTACTGTGGCTACCTCAGGTCACCTCTCCCCTCTATGTACTGTGGCTACCTCAGGTCACCTCTCCCCTCTATGTACTGTGGCTACCTCAAGTCACCTCTCCCTTCTATGTACTGTGGCTGCCTCAGGTAACTTCTCTCCTCTATGTACTGTGGCTACCTCAGGTAACTTCTCCCCTTTATGTACTGTGGCTACCTCAGGTCACCTCTCCCCTCTATGTACTGTGGCTACCTCAGGTCACCTCTCCCCTCTATGTACTGTGGCTACAAGATATTAACTGTCCCCTCTATGTACTGTGGATACCTCAGGTCACCTCTCCCCTCTATGTACTGTGGCTACCTCAAGTCACCTCTCCCCTCTATGTACTGTGGCTACCTCAGGTCACCTCTCCCCTCTATGTACTGTGGCTACCTCAGGTCACCTCTCCCCTCTATGTACTGTGGCTACCTCAGGTCACCTCTCCCCTCTATGTACTGTGGCTACCTCAGGTCACCTCTCCCCTCTATGTACTGTGGCTACCTCAGGTCACCTCTCCCCTCTATGTACTGTGGCTACCTCAGGTCACCTCTCCCCTCTATGTACTGTGGCTACCTCAGGTCACCTCTCCCCTCTATGTACTGTGGCTACCTCAGGTCACCTCTCCCCTCTATGTACTGTGGCTACCTCAGGTCACCTCTCCCCTCTATGTACTGTGGCTACCTAAAGTAACCCCTCCCCTCTTTGTACTGTGACTACCTCAGGTCACCTCTCCCCTCTATGTACTGTGGCTACCTAAAGTAACCCCTCCCCTCTTTGTACTGTGACTACCTCAGGTCACCTCTCCCCTCTATGTACTGTGGCTACCTAAAGTAACCCCTCCCCTCTTTGTACTGTGACTACCTCAGGTCACCTCTCCCCTCTATGTACTGTGGCTACCTAAAGTAACCCCTCCCCTCTTTGTACTGTGACTACCTCAGGTCACCTCTACCTTCTATGTACTGTGGCTACAAGATATTAACTGTCCCCTCTATGTACTGTGGCTACCTCAGGTAACTTCTCCCCTCTATGTACTGTGGCTACCTCAAGTCACCTCTCCCCTCTATGTACTGTGGCTACTTCAGGTCAACTCTTCCCTCTATGTACTGTGGCTACCTAAAGTAACCACTTCCCTCTTTGTACTGTGACTACCTCAGGTCACCTCTCCCCTCTATGTACTGTGACTTCTCAGGTCAACTCTCCCGTCGTCTATATACTGTGACAACCTCAGGTCACCTCTCCCGTCTTTGTACTGTGGCTACCACATATTACCTCTCCCCTCTATGTACTTTGACTAACTCAGGCTAACTCTCCCCTCTATGTACTGTGGCAACCTCAGGTCACTTCTCCCCTCTATGTACACTGGCTATCTCAGGTCACCTTTCCCCTCTATGTACTGTGACTACCTCAGGTCAACTCTCCCGTCGTCTATGTGCTGTGGCTACCTCAGGTCACATTTCCCCTCTATGTACTGTGACTACTTAAGGTCAACTCTCCCCTCTATGTACTCTGGCTATCTCAGGTCACCTCTCCCTTCTATGTACCTCAGGCCACCTTTCCCATATATGTACTACGACTACCTAAGGTCAACTCTCTCCTCTATGTACTGTTGCTACAAGATATTAACTGTTCCCTCTATGTACTGTGGCTACCTCAGGTCACCTCTCCCCTCTATG